AGATCAAGTGAAACATAGCCTTCAAAACAGAGGTTAATTCAGGTCATTGCTCGGTGAACCCCAAAATACTGTTTTTCCTCTTCTTTATGACAAAACACTGCATATAGGCCTACTAAGGCACTCAAAACCATGGTATTTCATGCACATAAATGAAGCTTTTATTTTAAGCAGAAGTTATATAACTTTTCTAGGAGTAAAGATGTTTATATATAACACAGCGTAAGGCATGACATAAAACGTCAAACTATTACACCCATCTGAAGAAGTTACTCTTAAGTTGATTTTCCCTGCGTATTATATATTCGGCCTGCCCAAAATGCGAGGTTTTTACTGCATACCACCAAAATGCACCGTGTTTTCCGAGTCTTCAAAGTCAGGCGTCTAAAAATAATGATAGGTTTTGATAGACTCGGGTTATCTTGATAATAATAAATAAAAAGTGTATGTTAGGCCCCCCAAAAAATATTCGGTCTCTGGTCAGACCAAAGTTCCGGAATTGTCGCGGCCACGCGGCTTTTTTTTTTTTCTCCTTTTTTTTTTTTCTTCAAGCTTGGATTGTACAGACAAGGTGGGCACTATTTTGCTTTTTTGGTGTCCTCATGCACATTGGTGTCCTCCATAATTTCCCTTGGTGCAATTTCCCTTTCCTTGGTGCTCTTTGGTAAAAAAAAAATTGAGGAGGTGCGGAAATAGAGGGCGCTGTTGGAGCTACTGCGGAACATTTTGAAAAAAAAAGATCGACGCGCATGATTAAAATCGACGCGCGCGCTGACCAGAGACCGACTTTTTTTTTTTTGGCCTTAGATCATTATGAGGAACGTATCTTTATAGCTAATACTGTATTTTCCGGTCCATTTCAATTTAATTTGAAAACAAATGTCCCCTCATAAATCAGCATTCAATCTTCATACAGAATCATTTCATCAGCTGATCATTTCATTCTAGTTAAAGAAAAGATCGGTATTGTTCATTCAATTTCACCGATCGCAGTAATAGGTTTGATGAAGTGTCACATAATATTGACACCCCTTTTTACATCTTTACATTCACATTGGTTTCGTATTTGACATTTTCGAAATCAAGGAGAAAAATGAAAAAGTCCTTTGTTCTGTGTAATCAATCACATGGCCAAACACCAAATTGTTTTATTAATTTCATAGTTATGAGTATACTTAGATTGTTTAAGTATATATACGTCATCGTCTGCCAGTCAAGTAAGGCTTGAAACCGGCGGAACACGTTTGTAATGAGAAGAAAATACAAAGAAAGAAAATATTATAAGATGAAGATGACTTCAGTGTAAAACGTATAACGCACACAACAATTAAAAGGAAATTGGCAAGGAACCCTGTTCATGCAATAAGCTGCTCCAAGAGCTCATATTGGTTTGAATTTCATAAGATAGGACTGGCAAAGAGAGAGGACTGCCAAAATTGCGACCACCAGAAAAAAAAAAATAAGGACCGCGTGCAATCAAGAGGGTGCGGTCAATCTAAATAATGATTTTGAATAGAAATGAGAGATGGGAGAACGGAAGAGGATTAGTATTATTCCACAAGTGAACAGACTAAAAGATAAATAAGACGATTTCTTGGCTTAAACAAAGCAACAAAAGGAAACTGGAATTATAAGCGAATATAAGTTATTTTAAATTATTACGAAACTGGAATTATAAGCGAATATAAGTTATTTTAAAATTATTACGTTTTAACGATATGGCTGCTCTATCTGTAACTTATTACCGGTATTTTTTTTTAGCTAATTCTTTTTTTTTTTTAAACTGTACTTTTATCATCGATGTTGGCGTTTTCATTGATCAGGCGTGTTGCAGTTCTTTAAGTTTCGATTTTCTTTCCGGATTGTTGATATAAGGGCTGTCTGTTGGTGAATCACTTTTGGTTGACGGAACCCTGTCTTTTGGCAAATCTCTTTGCATAGGGGTTGCCCTGTTGGTTGACGGAACCCTGTCTTTTGGCAAATCTCTTTGCGAAGTAGCCCCGTCGCCTTGCGTCAGGGGTGTCTTGGCTGGCATCTCTCTCATAGACTATAAATGAAAACAAACAATAGTGTAAGAATGGTCTTCCAACGGTACAATATTCCCCTGTGATTAAACAGAATGACTCTGTAGGATAAAAGGCAACTTTCGGAAAAAGGCAACTTTCGGAAAATACAAGCCTAATTTGGATAAAGCCTTGCAGAGAATGAGGCAGGATAATAATTATTTAATAAAAAAACAACAGTTATTTAACTTATATAACATTGCTAATTGAAGGTGAGCTGTATGATGTCATGGTCAGGATGGGGGGGACCCATAATGAGGTCATTTTGCCCTGGATTAGGGTGAAATCACAATCGTTGAGTGGATATGTAGTTTTCTGCGGGGCGTAAATCCGGTGGGGGTATGGGGGTATATATCCCATTTTATACAACACCTGAATAAATCCCCGTCATCTGATTGGTGAATTGTAAATCACGTGACATATTATTATTCGGTATAATGCACGGTGCGACCATGCGTTATACCCATGCGTTATACCGTTTCACTTTGCGCTTGTTCCATGACGCGGTATTTGCGTGCAAAATGCATGCTGGTGTGCGCGTTCAGCGTAGCGCGTATTGTTCCAAAGAGAGCGCGCCGCACACTTGGGTTCAAACATTTCGTGAAAGGTTAGTTTTTAAGAGAGAAATACATTTTCCACCAATTTTGTAGTGAAATTGAAGTTTATTTCAACTGTGTTCAGATTTAATTAATGTAAAATATCAAAAACAAGCAGAATCTGTGGGTGAAGTGTTATAAAACAAATATTGAATACTTTATCTCGTGGTGAAGTAAAACTAGGCTAGTTTTACTACACCACTCGAAGCATTCAATATTTGTATACTATTTTTGAGATATTTTTCTGACTTCCTCATAACCAAATTTATTAAATAACAATGAAAACTGGAGAAAAAAGAAAAAAACTAAAAAATGTGCCGTTTTGATATAAGCCCGAGTATACATAATGATGTACATCTGTATACTGAACGGGTGGAGACGCTGTCGATTTTGCGTACTGGTTATGGTAAGCCTAGTTTATGCAACTGTCATCCATGGGCAAAGCTGCAAACATTATGTTATAAACAAGTGGGCATGTAGAATCATGCCATGGAGGTTTGACAAATCAGAATCGTGAAGCGCGTTCCTTATATGAAACTCGTATAACAAAGATATTTGGTGAATATTTAAATTGCAGTTGATATAGTTACCACAATCGGTCTCGTCCTCCCCGTCCGTGCAATCTACAATTACATCGCAGTGCCACTCAGCAGGAATTGTCACACCGTCGTTACAACTGAAGATATCGTCAGCTATGAATGATGGATTTATTGCTGACTCCCCAGGAAAGGGGGTAGTCCCTGAAAAGAGTGATATACGACATTATTAAAACCCTACCTGGACCTTACACAGTGGTTTCCAAACACTAAGGGTATCTGTATTTAATTCATTCTTTTAACAACATGTTCAACTCCACTGGTTTATATTTTATATTAAGGCAGTTGGGTGTTTTCTTCTTCTATTTCTTCTTTTTCTTTTCTATTTTTTAGTTCAGAAATGCATTTTAAAAATTGGATGTAAGAAAGGGGGCACCATGATGAAGAGTGGGAGACGGACTCTCAATGTTTTCGTGTATCGGATTTTTTTTATTTCCAATTTTCCATGCATTCATTATTTGGGTATCCTGATAAGAGCATTATTTAAATCAGTCATAGGCCCATATGATTTACCGGAAAATCTACCGTTTGTTGTCACTCTTTAACCATTCAATTGGACATTCCAATCATTCAATCGTGCACAATAATATATTATACAACGCCTGAATAAATCCCCGTCATCTGATTGGTGGATCGTTGATCACATGTCATTGAATTATTCGTACCAACGCACGGCGCGCGTGGCGTGCAGCGGACAGTGCAATGGAAGTTCTATTGCACGGTGAATAGAACTTCCATTGCACGGACTGGTGTCACTGCTGCCGGTGGTGGCGCTGGTTTAAATCGAGATAAATTGAATACGAATGTTCTCAACCTGTTGTACAGTTTGCAATATTAATATAGATATGATGAACTTGTCGAACTTTTAAACAGTATTAACCTGAATGAATTGGCTATTAAAAGTCAACCAATCAGATGACAAGGATTTATTCAGGTGTTATAATTATAAAACAAATAATGAATGTTTCACGTTCGTGCAATGGACAGAATAAATGTTCCATTCCACTCGGCTTCGCCTCGTGGAATGGAACATTTCATTTGTCACCTCATGAAATTATTCTTACCATTGCACTCACAAACATTCATTATTTGTATAATATCCGATTCAAATTTGCCTGTCGTTCAGGAAGACTGGTCCTGTATTTGGACTTTGAATGTAGAGACAGGTAGCAGGTAAAGAATCTTGAAACATTACAATGTAGGAGGCTTTCCTGCTAATGTATGCAAATTATATGCCGAAATAGGCTAGATCTGATTCCCGCCCCTAAATACAAAATCACATCGATAGTGTTAGTGCCGGGCCAGCCTATTGCAAAATGGCAACAAGGCTACCACGAATGTGCAATTTTTCGTGGTGATGAGCTTCGATTTTCGCTGAATTCGAAAGTGTCTCGGGCAACAATCAACAAAAAGAGGGGCACTGCTTTTCAGTATTGGAAACCTGTATTTGAAAGGCTGGACAGTTGCCTTCGTGGAGACGCTGTCGATTTTGCGTACTGGTTATGGTAAGCCTAGTTTATGCAACTGTCATCCATGGGCAAAGCTGCAAACATTATGTTATAAACAAGTGGGCATGTAGAATCATGCCATGGAGGTTTGACAAATCAGGAATCGTGAAGCGCGTTCCTTATATGAAACTCGTATAACAAAGATATTTGGTGAATATTTAAATTGCAGTTGATATAGTTACCACAATCGGTCTCGTCCTCCCCGTCCGTGCAATGGGGTACCGTATCGCAATGCCACTCAGGAGGAATTGTCACACCGTCGTTACAAATGAAGAAATCGTCAGCTATGAATGACTCCTCAGGGAAGGGGGGAAAGGTCCCTGAAGAGAGTGATATACGACATTATTAAAACCCTACCTGGACCTTACACAGTGGTTTCCAAACACTAAGGGTATCTGTATTTAATTCATAAGAGATGAAATTGAGGGCGCATGGCACATACTGCTCTGTTAATATTTCCAAGCAAATGTTGCTATCTTTCAAATCGTGTTGACTGAAAAGGTAGGCAGTTTTTTCCCACCAGTCACCCGGACGCGAATTTTCTTTTCCTTAACAACATCCGCAAAACATGGTTGTTGAGCGCCCTCTACGATACTTTTATGATACGTACGCATGTATTATTATAACCATGAATTTCCAGGATTTGTCGCGCAGTTCGACAGCTCAATTGGATGGGATTGTGATTTTGTACCGCGAGGTACCCTCGCGGTATGGGTTCGAATCACCATTTTTTACCCGAATTACTTTCTTTTCAAATCTTAGGCTTTGTGAAGGATTTTTCTTAATGGCAAATAAAGACCTTCTAACTTTATATTTTTTCTCATGTTTTTAAGAGAAGTAAAGTCCAAAACGTCGTAGCGTACGCCCCATGCAGATGTCGTTTGGGGGGGGGGGGGGGGGGAAACGCCAACCGGACACCATCTTCCTATGAGGGCGCTGTTCAAAGCAGACAACTATTGGCACCATTGGACAATAGGTGGCGCTTTTCATGGCGGCACAATAAGGGTGCAGACCCATGACTCCTATAGACTTAAGTGATAATTACGCGTATTTCCAAAACTTATTAACAGTACTGACAGTAACAGTACTGTTTTGTGTAAATTTAAAAATAAAAATTGTTATAATTTACCCAGTCAGTTTTCCTTTGTAGTTCATTTCAAAAATTTGCAAAAAAAAAAAAAAAATGAAAAATTCAAATACCGTATCCTGTCTCTATTTCCCCAGATCTGCATCGTGACTTTGGGCGTAATCCCTGGCTGCATGGCATACTGGTTTATGGCTTCTAACTAGCGCCCCTTGAACAATTATATTGACAAATCGGGGAACTGCTTACATAGGGCTGGATGGCTCAGTTGGTAGAGCACCGGAACGGCAATCCGGAGGTCACAAGTTCAAACCCGCTCTCAATTTCTTTGCTCAACGTTTTACAAAAATAGTTTTTATTTTGCTGAATTGAAAGATGCGTATATACCCGTTCAACTTATATGAATCAAAAATAGCAATCGTAATGAACCTAGACACCAGATATATTAAGTGCGTCTATTATGCTCACCTTCTAGGGCTTTCTTCTCTCTCGCCTCTGGTAGTGCAAAGCAACTTTCTGCAGGAGAAATCCAGTTCAAATGGATACTTGACAATCAATTGATGTGTTGTGGGCTCTGCCACATGTGAAAACACAATGTGTGAAAAAGACCGAGGAAAGGATTGCCTTTACGGGCTGGGCGCACTTGACTCAAAGAATTTGTCATTCAAACGGTTAAGAATTTCTTTAAAACTCAATGACAAATTATGATCAACCGTTATTATCTTTACTAACATATCCAAGTCAGAAATAAACTTTTTCCTGTCCAGTTTTACAACTTGGTCTTCGGTTATGCAAAACTTCCGCTTGAATTCGTTTGAAACTGGGTAAGCGTTAACACACCCGTTTCAATTTCGCAACAGTTCAAGCATATATATAGGTATACTTCATTCACACGTAAAATGTAAGAAGCAGATAACGTGGGTCTTCTGTCTCCCAATGGGCATTTACGCTTTGGCCGATTTTAGCCAAATTTGGACAGGATCGTCCATGACCGGAGTCCTGTATTCAATTCAATTCAATTCAACATGGTTTATTAATAAATCACGAATAGCAGCCACAGCTGAATTGCACGTGATTTAAATTAAAAAAAAAATACATTTAAAAAAAGTTAAAGGCCTACCGAGTTAAAAAACAAAATATGACATTAAATACTAATATTAGAAAAGGTTTAAACATTGTGCATACAGATCTGACTAAAGAAAATTGTCTATATAGAGAAATACATATTATTGTTACAGATTGTGTTGCAATCAATTTGTCTTACTTTAAAAAGGGGGCATTCGAATTGCGTTAAAACTTATAAAAGACATTCAAAAAGGTTGCAGGTAAAATTTTTTAAAGTTTCATTTAGGATTAGAATTATAACAATGAGCCAGATGAGAAATGAGTTTAAAAATTGTGCAAGATGCGTGGCAGTCAAATTATCTTATTTAAATGAAAGGTAGTATTAAAATAACGTTAAAACTGGTAAAATACAATAAAAGCTTGCAGGTAAAAATCAATTCATTGAGTGGTCGGGCACAACCCGACCACTCTCTGTTATTGTTCTGGTCAATCTTTCTTTTTTTTTCCGGACAATACTTCTCCGCGGGTTTTCTCCTAAACGGTATACGGTATGAACTTGTAACTTTCACTATATATCGACCCTCATCCGAAGTGGTGCATATTACTCTGACGTCATGATGACGTCATCGGGTGTCAAATTACAAGCGATTTTAGCTGGAAAAGGGTCAAATTACCTTCACCCATAACTCTTGAACAAAATAATCAGTGATGTTTATATTCTGTAATAAGATAGACCATGAATTGATAAATATTTCTTTTCGTGTACGTGAACTCACTTGACCCCTTCTTCGGGGTCAACCGGAAGGTTAAAGTTAGGTAAATTCAAAATGAAGACTTTAGCTTGAAATCAAAACAAAGCAACATTTCTTTCATACATTTCACGATATGATCATAAAACCTAGTGTGAATTTGTACCACGTTACGAAGATACTATAGAGTTTGTTACGTCATCATGACGTCATCAGGTATCAAATTACAAGTGATTTAAGGGGAAATTTTGACGAAATAGTTTGCGCTACATCTTTTGAACTAAATATAGTATCGTGTTCGTTTTTTCGTGAGGTTGTAGACTATGCTGTGAGAAACAATTCTTGTCCCCGGACACAACACCGCTTGACCTTCACTTCCGGTGTTACCGGAAGTGCAATAAAAACCGAGTATAACTCAAAAGGGGAAGCATTATACTACACACATATATATTATGAAAGTGTTTATTGAGAAATGCTGGACACAAAACAGTGTGATGACGTCATCTTTCGAAAGGGCGCCCCCTAGCGGCATATTAAATAGTGTTTGCTTTCTTTAATTTGAAAACCATCCGTTAAGATTTCACAAAATCGCCCCTTGATATTCTTTGATTAACCACAGATAAGGTGGCAAGGTTTCAAATTCATGACGTCATCAGACCGGAAGTTACTTTAAGGAGAATTCGAAAAAGATCAAAGTTTTAATTTAATTCTATCATTTGATCCCTGTCATATCTTCGAAGTCCAAATAATGATATCCATTACAATGTTCACCTTTAGATCTCTAATGCTGTGACGTCATCAAACCGGAAGTTAGGTGTTATAAATACGTCGTCAAACTGGTATGAACTTGTAACTTTCAATATATATCGACCCTCATCCGAAGTGGTGCACATTACTCTGACGTCATGATTACGTCATCGGGTGTCAAATTACAAGTGATTTTATCTGAAAAAGTGACCAATTACTTTAACCTATAACTCTTTAACTAAACAATCAATGATGATTGTATTCTGTAATCAGATAGACCATTAATCGTTAAACAGTTTTTGTAGTGTAAATGAACTCGCTTGACCTTTACTTCCGGGTCTAACGGAAGGTCAAAGTTAGGTGAATTCAAAATGAAGACGTTAGCCTGATATCAAAACAAAGCAGCATTTCTTCCGAAGAGTTCACGGTATGATCACAAAACCTTGTGTGAACTTGTACCATGTTACGAAGATGTTGTACATTTTGTTACGTCATCATGACGTCATCCGGTATCAAATTACAAGCGATTTAAGGGCAAACTTTGACAAAATAGTTTGCTTTATATCTTTTGAACTAAATAGAGTATCGTGTTCGTTTTTTCGTGAGGTTGTAGACTATGCCGTGAGAAACATTTCGTGTTCCCGGACGCAAAACCGCTTGACCTTTACTTCCGGTGTTACCGGAAGTGCAATAAAAACTGAATATAACTCAAAAGCGGAAGCATTTCACTACAGACATATATATTATGAAAGTGTTAAGTGAGGAATGCAAGACGCAAAAAACAGTGTGATGACGTCATCATCCGAAAGGGCGCCCCCTATCTGCACATAAAATAGAGTTTCTATTCTGTAATTGTAAAACCATTTGTCCAAATTTTACCAAATCGCCCCTTGACATTCTCTGATTAACCACAGATAAGGTGGCAAGGTTTCAAATTCATGACGTCATCAGACCGGAAGTTACTTTAAGGAGAATTCGAAAAAGATCAAAGTTTTAATTTAATTCTATCATTTGATCCCTGTCATATCTTCGAAGTCCAAATAATGATATCCATTACAATGTTCACCTTCGGATCTCTAATGCTGTGACGTCATCAAACCGGAAGTTAGGTGTTATAAATACGTCGTCAAACCGGAAGTTAGGTGATATTAATACAAACAATTATATTTCCCATATTTTCATACGATATTTATTTTTAAAATGACAAATTATCCTCTCCGAACTTTAACAGTATTCACTAACCATTTTTGACTGATGACGTCATCAAACCAGAAATAACTTTTTGTGCACATAGAATGTTAACTGAAGTTTATCACACCGTTAAAGATACCTTTTTGAAACATTGATTGTACTTGAAGGGATTTAATTTCGTGATCCTTTTTTCTACATATATTCCTAACTTAACTGGGCAGTGTATAATGAGAAGGCTGTCCGCCCGACCACTCTGCGTTTGTAACTCAACAAACGCGAAACTCTAGTTTCATTTGGGATTAGAGTTATACAGATGTACCAGATGAGGAATGGCACTATTCTGCATTCTATGTGTTGAATGGTCGGGCACAACCCGACCACTCTTTGGATCTGTTACGATTAATCTTTCTTTCTTTCTTTCTTTGAGTGGTCGGGCACAACCCGACCACTCTTTGGATCTGTTAACGATTAATCTTTCTTTCTTTCTTTCTTTGAGTGGTCGGGTACAACCCGACCACTCTCTGTTATTGTTCTGGTAAATCTTTTTTTTTCTTTTCCGGACGATAATTCTCCGCGGGTTTTCTCCTAAACGGTTCATGATATGAACTTGTAACTTTCAATATATATTGACCCTCATCCGAAGTGGTGCATATTACTCTGACGTCATGATGACGTCATCGGGTGTCAAATTACAAGCGATTTTAGCTGAAAAAGGGGTCCAATTACTTTCACTCATAACTCTTGAACAAAATAATCAGTGATGTTTATATTCTGTAATCAGATAGACCCTGAATTGATTAACATTTCTTTTTGCGTACGTGAACTCAATTGACCCTTTCTTCCGGGTCAACCGGAAGGTTAAAGTTAGAAGAATTCAAAATGAGGACAAAGCAAAATTTCTTCCATACGGGATACGGTATGATCATAAAACCTAGTGTGGACATGTACCATGTTACGAAGATACTATATATTTTGTTACGTCATCATGACGTCATCATGTATCAAATTACAAATGATTTAAGGGCAAATTTTGACGACATAGTTTGCGCTATATCTTTTGAACTAAGTATAGTATAGTGTTTGTTTTTTCGTGAGGTTGTAGACTATGCTGTGAGAAACATTTCTTGTCCCCGGACACAAATCCGCTTGACCTTCACTTCCGGTGTTACCGGAAGTGCAATAAAAACCGAGTATAACTCAAAAGCGAAAGCATTTTACTACAGACATATATATAATGAAAGTGTTTGGTGAGGAATACAAGACGCCAAAAACAGTGTGATGACGTCAACATCCGAAAGGGCGCCCCCTATCGGCGCATAAAATAGAGTTTCCCTTCTTTAATTTTAAAGTCATTCGTCCAAATTTTACCAAATCGCCCCTTGATATTCTCTGATTAACCACAGATAACTTGGCAAGGTTTCAAATTCATGACGTCATCAGACCGGAAGTTACAATAAGGAGAATTTGAAAAGGATCATAGTTTTAATTTAATTCTATCATTTGATCCCTGTCATATCTTCGAAGTCCAAATAATGATATCAATTACAATGTTCACCTTTGGATCTCTAATGCTGTGACGTCATCAAACCGGAAGTAGGTGTTACCAATACGTCTCAAACCGGAAGTTAGGTGTTATTGATACAAACTATTATATTTCCCATATTTTCATACGTTATTTTAACTTTACAATGAAAAGTTATAGTCTCTGAACTCTATCAGTATTCACTAACCGTTTGTGACTGATGACGTCATCAAACCAGAAAT